TTGTGTCCACCTGGGGGTGGCCATCTTTGACCACATGAGGGTGGCCATCTTTTGTGTTGGGGTGATGGTCAATTTGCATATAACCTTTTTATTATATAGGGTTTCATTCATTGTTTTGACAAATATTTGAGTGCCTATTATGTATGTGCCAGGTATTTTCCTAGACTCTGGGTACATCATAAAAAAATAAAAAAGATATAATCTCTACCCTCATAACCTAGTGGAGGACAGACAATAAAGAAGATAAACATACTATGTGATATGTTTAAAGATAGTGGTAAGTTTAAAGAGAGGTTGGAATAAACTAAAATAAAAACATGAATGTTAAATACATGGAAGAATTGAATTTTTAAGTATAATAGTCTAGGAAAGTCTTACAGAAAAGGTGATTTTTGAATAAATGTCTTAAGGAACTGAGGAAAAGAGTAGTTCAGGCAGAAGTAGCAGCAAGTGCTACAGCCCCAGAATGGAAGCATGCCAGGGACATGGAGGGAGCAGCCAGGAGACTATGAGTGGGGCCCAGTGAAGGAGGAGGTGAGGTCAAAGAGGTAATTGGAGGGCCAGATTACATTGAGTCTTATAGGTCAGAGTTAGGACTTTTGCTTTTATTGTCAGTGGCAGAAAGCCACTGGACACCATTGCACAGAGGAGTGGCATGTTCTGATCTAAACACTTTAATAAGATCATTCAGGCTGCTATAGTCAGAGAAGCCTAAGGAAGGCAAGGATGGAATCTAAGGGACTGCTCCTGGGCTAATGTCAATACTCTAAGCAAGAGATGAGAGTGGCTTAAATCAGGAAATTGGGACTCTGGGTGGTGAGAAGTTTTCATTATCTGGATATACTTTGAAGGTAGAGCCCACATAACTACTGGTAACAAATGTACAGTGTAGGAGTATGGGTAGTCAAGAATGATTCCAGAATTTTTTTGCCTGAGCAATTGGAAGAATAAAATTGCTCTTAACTGAGATAAGACTGTATTTGAAGGCACAGATTATGGAAAAAGTGTGAGGAGCTTAGTTTGGGATATGTTCTGTTCTGTTAGACATACAAATAGAGATTGGACATATGAGTTTGTAGTTCAGGGGAGAAATTGGGATGGAGCTATAAATACGGGAGTTCTCACACTATGTAGTAATTTGGAGAAAAAGAGAAAAGGTTCAAACACTGATCATGGGCACACCATTATTTGTTGGGGAGATGAAGAGGAACTAACAAACGAGATGAGAAGGAGCAGCCAGAAAAGTAAAAAGAAACCTGAAAACTAGGTAAATGTGAAGTCTTGGAAGCAGACTTGGGGGCGGGGGGGAATGTTTGAGGAGATGAGGGTACTCAATGATGTCAAACTGCTGAAAGATTGAGAATGAAAATTGGCCATTAGATTTAGCAGATCTTTCGTGTACAAAATAAGAGTAGTTTTGGTGGTGAGGTGGAGGCAAGAATGTAATTGGAATGAACTGAGAGAATATTTAATAAACAGCTACTGCTCTTAATGAAGTGCAAGTACCTTTCAGGGTAGTATTATGCTTTGTTCACTCCTGTCAATTAGGCAGAGAGCTTGAATTCCCCCTTACCCTGACTTTTCTTCTCCATAGACCTTCAGCAAATTGCATAGGCCTGCTCACATTGGAGAGGACAATCTGCTTTACTCAGTCTACTGACTCACATGTTGGCTTTTTCCAGAAACACCCTCACAGACACACTCAGGATAATGTTTAAATGTCTGGGCATCCAGTGGCCCAGTCATTTGACATATAAAATTAATCACCATCGAACCATGTGATTATTGATATTGCTTTCTTTAAACCCGCCATTTGGCTGTTTTTATTTTATTTGTTCACTAGTTCTTTGTTCTTTTTCCATTTTCTCTGCCTTCTTTGGATTAATTGGATTTTTTTTTTCTGTGATTCCATTTATCTCCTTGCTTCACATGTTAGCCATAACTCTTCATTGTATTTTCTTTAGGATTTACACAGTGGCCCTCAAACAGGGGCAGTTTTCCTCCCCAGGGATTATTGGCAACATTTGCAGACATTTTTGACAAAACTGCACAAGTGCTACTAGTATTTAGTAGGTAGAGGCCGGGTTACTGTAAAAATCTTAAAATGCAAAGTCCAGTGACTCCACTCCTTGACCAGAAAGTTAATCTAACCCAAAATGTGAATAATGGTGTGGTTAAGAAATTCTAGTCTATACTACACTTCTTCAACTTATTCTTTCAAGTAATATTATATCATTTCACACATAGTGTAAATACCTTACAAAGTTGTCTTGGCATTTGTGGTGTTGTCCTACATTTTATTTCTCCATATGTTCTAAGCCCCTCAATGAATTGTTTTTGCTTTAAGGAGTCAATTACTTTGAAATATCTTAAAATAAAATAAAAGTATTTTTTATTTAACCACATATTTATAATTCCTGAATTCTTCTATGTAGATCCAGATTTTTATCTCATATCATTTCTTTCTGCCTGAAGTACTTTCTTCAGCATTTCTAGTAATGCAGAACTGCTGGTGATGAATTCTTTCCATTTATGTGTAGGAGCCTTTTTTTACCCTTGTCTCTGAAAGATATTTTGCTGGGCATACAATTGGAAGTTGATATGTTTTTGAGTCATAATACTTTAAAATTTTTGCTCTACTGCCATTTGTTATGCACTGTTTTCAAAAACAATGAAAAATATTAATCTCATTGATGTCTTTTTCCCTCTGGCTAAAATTGTAAGTTTCATTCCTTTACCACTGATTTTGAGAACTTTGAGTATAATGAGACTAAGTGTAGTTTTATTAATGTTTCTTATGTTTCAGGTTTTTGAAATTTTGGGATCTATTAGTGTATGTTCCCCTCCACTCTCTTCCCTCCCCTTCCTCCCTCCCCCCCCCCCCCATCAAATTCTAAAAATATTCAGCTATTATTTCCCTCTCCTGTCTTCTCTCCTTTGTAGTCTCCAAAGGAGACTCACTGATGCACAGGACATGTGTTTTTTGTTTTTTCCCCTCCTCTTTATTTTATTGCTTTGTTCTATTGCTTTATCTTAAAATTCACTAATCTTTTCTTCTGAGATGTCTGATCTATTAATCAATCCCATTCAGTGTATTTTTTTTTAATCTCAAACATTTTATTTTTCATCTCTAGAATTTTGACTTATTTCTTTTTTTTTGTACCTGCTATGAATCTACTCAATATGTCCAATCATTCTTTAGCTCTTTGAATATATGGATACAGATATAAAAAATATTTTAATTTTTAATATATCAGTTCTGTGTCCATTTTGATTAAATGATTTGGGTCCTCATTATAAAATATTTTTCCTGCTGCTTTGCATTACTCTTTTTTTTTTTCTTTTTTTTGGAGTCTTATCATTGTGAATTTTGCTTTGTTGGGTATTAGATATTTTTACATTATTGTAAATGTTCTTGAGCTTTATTTTGGGGTGCAGTTAAGTAACATTCAAACAGTATGATTCTTTCCAGGCTTGCTTTTAAGGTTTATTAAGTGAGATCAGGGTAGCATAATTTGGAAGCATAATTTTCCCCATTACTAAGTCAGTACCCTGATACCTTGTTTCATTTATTTATTTTTTATTTTTTTTATCCTGGCTGGTGATAAACTGAACTATTCCTGGATTTATGTGGGCCCAGCAAGCTTTCCCTCTGAGTCTTTGAAGTGGTTCCTTCCCTGTTTTGTGTAGCTTCCTCAAATGTGTGCCTTCTTCAGTATGTGGGAAAATGGGTTGTTAGCTAGTTGCTAAAGTAATCCAGAAAAACTCCTACTGTCAAACAATTGGCTTTGATCAGAAGGGTAGAGGGAAATTTAATTTATGTCATGTCTTTAAAAGAAATTAAGTTAAATACAAGTGATGTAATTAATTTTTTTATTTTTTTAAACTTAAATTATATTGAAGAGTTTGGATTTTGTTATATTTTATTGTTTTCTATAGTCCATATTCTTTACATTGAAGTCACATATCTTTGTACTCCTCAGTTCTACCACTTTTGATGTCACTTGAAAGGATTTCTATGTGTTAACATATAAAAATGATGATCTAGTGGAGAGCAGTGGGCCTTATTTCATATACAGTACTTAGACATCAATGTAGCATGTCATTATACTTATGGTTCTTGACTAGCATTTTGGAAGCATACATACTCAATTGTGTGGAATGCAAAGGCATATTGCAATTGTACTCATAAACTCATAATAGGTAGGTGGTAAAATATTTATTTTAACTCTAGAAGTTGCATAGAAATCTTTGTTTAATAGGAGCCTATATTGACACAGAAAGTAAAATTGGAGCTTTTTCAGATTTTTAATAGCTTATTGTTGATTTTAGATACTTGCTTTTGACAAAGAAGACTGTACTCTACTTTTAGAATGAAAAATGATTTATCACTTCCATAATCTAACAAAATTAGTGAAAGTGTGTGTTTATGTATTTATTTTTATTCCTAGACAATAAACTTAGGAAAATAAATTTGCCACTCAGCTAAAGAACCAAACTATTTTTAGTCTGTTTTGAAGCTTCCTATTAATTTAAAAAGTTGTAACAGAAAGCATATGCTTTATAACACCTTTTTATAAGACATTTTGGGCATTCATTAAATATCTCATCAATTCTCAAAAATAGTAAGGGCAACTTAACAATAATGAGAACCACTTAAATCTCAGGAATATTTTTGTACTACCTGAAAAGCACACCCTTGAAATTAGCATGCTAGTGTTCTGTTTGGATTAGGCATGGTCTTGAGTGTATCTTTGATGAAATGGAGGCATTATGTTGAATAATCCATAATATAATAAGTGTTACATGCAGCATTTGTAATAGATTCCATTATTTAATATAATATATATATATAAATAATTATAGTGATCTACATTCTGTTTTACTTTAATTAATGTAGTAGATATTTCTTTACCATTCAGTTTATTAATAATCATTCTAATTATCTCTTTTATCTCCTTTTTATCCATCCGTCCCCATTACCCCTTTTCCACTTACAGCTCTATGCCATCCCTTGGTTTCTTACCATGTTTACTCGTAAGTATCATTTTCCCTTTCCTTTTGCTATTGTGTTAGCTAAAGAATAATTCCATCCTCCAGTATATTATAGTATATAATAGTAGTATCAGCAGATTTAATTACATAATCATTCATATGTATTTCTAATGTAATAGAGCCTCGTAGAAAATAATATTAATCTGACTGCTGAATATAAAAAAGTATTTTATTAAATTAAAACCTAGTTTACATATTGTGACATTCATAAAATTTCTTCCTCCTATTGAAAAAGCAATTAATATTAACTATAGGATTTACATAAAGTTTTGGAAAGCTACTTTTACAACCACATTAGGCTTAATTTTTTACAGATTCTCTAATAACAATTATCTTATTTCCTAAACTAGAATTCCTTTAGAAATTAACCAGATTATATAAATATGTAATGCTCTTACCAATTAAAAATATTAATGCAATGATCATTCTGCTTAAATATACACACATGATAAGTGAAATATAGTATTTAAAGTAAGTCTGTATGTATTGGCTTAGAAAATATTTACAGTATTAGTAAATGAAAAAAAATTGCGAAAAATAAGAAATTGCTAATTGGGTTTTTTATGTGAATTTAATAAAGAAAGTATTTAGAGCACATAATAGAAATGAAACAATATTAAAGTTCAGCTGGCTGAATAAACTTATGAGAATAATATAACTACCTAGAAAATTCTAGGAAGAAGTATATTGTATGGGACAACTACATCAACATTCATAATAAAGGTTAGAAAATGTCATGTTTTTGACAAGGAAGCAATAAATTTACAAAGCCAAACAAATATTTTATAAAACAGTTTGATAGTACATGTTCTTAATAATTTTTACCATAAGGTTATGGTCATATGTCTAGTAAAACTGCTTGTTATGGTTTTAATTTTTATTTTGTTTTTTATTGTAATTATTTTTTTTTTTTTTTTTTTGTATTTTGTCATTGTACAGATGTATTTCCACTGCACAAAATTTTTCACCTCTGGGATACCTTGCTACTTGGAAATTCCTCTTTCCCATTCTGTATCGGAGTAGCAATTCTTCAGCAGCTGCGGGACCGGCTTTTGGCCAATGGCTTTAATGAGTGCATTCTTCTCTTCTCTGATCTACCAGGTAATCTAGAAATAAATGGAATCACTAAATGAAATTTAATTATAAGATAATGAAACTTTCTTATACCAATTTGCATAATCATCGCTTATCCCTCAGAAGCTCTTCTGCTTGAGCCTCGTCATCCCTCTGTACAGTCTCTCCCTTGAATACTGCCTCTTGCACTGGCCCAGCATTGTAGATACAAAACAGGGGCATTCTAGCTCACTCTGGTTTACTTTCATGTCGGTGATGTCATCAAACGGGTACAAGAGCCAAGAGTAGTGCCCTGTTTTCCTTTTTGCTTAGGACAGACCTGTTTAACTTCCGCTGGTAGAGAGTAAATAAAGACCACTTGGGAAGGTGTTTGAGAATCTTTGTGTATACAAAGATGTAAATCACTTGAAACTTGCTTTCTCCTATTGATAGCTTCTTGCTAACAATTTGACAGATTTAGGAAAGGAAACAATTTCTTCCTGGGAGGGCCAGTCACAGTCTAGGGAAACTCCATCCATAATACAGGATAGTAAGTTAAAGGTATATATTGTGTTCACAAGTGAGGAGTTTATAAATTTAGGAGTTAAATGCTTAAGTATAGAAATGGTTGAAAAGATGAAAGTAACATGGTTACCTAGGATATAATAATCTGTGGAGGAAAATACTAAACCAACATGTATTTCAGGTAGAATTCTACTTTATTCAAAAAGCATTTTATTGGCTCCAGTCCTTCTGCTGAATTTATTTCTGATCTCTATATTTTCAGGCAGATACAGTGACTGCTGATAATAAACACTTAAAATTACTCAAGATAAACTTGTCTAAAAATAAAAAAAACAAAAGAAAAGTACATTAAGGCATATATTTATTAAGTACTCTCAAGAGAAAGAAAAATCCTGCTGCCTTTCCTGATTTTTTATCCCTTAATGCTTATTGCATTTCCTATTTATTTCTCACTTTGTTGTAGGCATTAAGCAACAGAGATGATAGATGCTTAGGAAATTGTGCCATTAATGGCATGATATATCATGGATTTAAAAGGCTGAGTGAATAAAGGAGCCAATAACATATTCTATCATTTTTTGCCCTTTAAACCACATAACCAAGATTGTGTTTTTTAAATATATCCATTCATTTATTCAACAAATACTCATCAATTTCCTATAAGGAGTGTGTATTTAAAATAAGTTTATGTGTGTGTAAGTCTATAATTTAATAATCTTATTTCTGGTATATCTTTTTTTTTTCTAACTGACCCAGAGCAGTCATGCATAATCATTTAAAGGTGATCTAATGGTTTCCTGTAACTGTGGCTGACACTTCTAACTTTGGTTATCTTAATTACATGTGGTATTACCTTCTACTTCCAGTAAGTTACTTGCCTGGCTGATGCATTAGTTCTTTAATTTTTCAGTGAGGGGAGCTTTTACTCAGTGGCAGATGTGTCAACTGATTAGAGCACTGCAGGTGTAAAACCTGTCGTTGTTGTCTGAAATTCTTTCCCTTTGGAGATTACTGTGTTAAATGGGTTAACTTTTTAAGATGATAGTTTTCTCTCTGTAGCTGCAAATTTTTAACTTATCCATATTAACTGGAAATTTTCTAAAATTAAGTGAACATATCTCTGCTTACATGGACTAGAGAAACTTATTTCAAATTTTGATTTTTCATCTAGTTGATGTCTGATCTCCTTTTTCTAGAATATCAGAGGATAATGTTATAGAGGCTTTAAAAAAATACATTTAACTGCATTAGCCATTGCTCAAATAAATAGACCCATGTCTAAAAACATGTTATCTGTGAGGTTTTTAAAATATTATGTTAGGAATACATGTGGAGTGTGAAATCTTACCTGTTTGTATAACCATTGAAATAACCTGCTCTGAAATTGATAAGCATCACTCTTCGTATATACAGAAAAGCTTAAGCTAGACCTGCTGGGCCAATTCAAAATCCAAGTGAATTGGAAAATAAAATATGTCTTATAACCTTTAACAACTTCAGACATTTTCTATTTATAACAACACACTCAACATAGTAAGTCCCTTAGCTTGCTTGTCTTACTTTCTTCATCTTCAGCAGAAGTTAGGAAGGTTACAATACCTGTCGACTAGAATCATTGTAAGAATTAAATGAGCTAAGTGAAAGAATACAATGCCTGGCACATAACAGATGCTCAGAAAGTGTGCAATTCCCCCCTTTCCTCCAAGGACTTTCCACCTTACAAAAAAGCAGGCAATTCTAAATGCATGGCTCATGTACCATCCACAGAATTTGAGTGGCTGTTTTCCCCTTTATATATATGGAGTGGCCAGATTATGATCTCTGAACTCATAATAAGCTGGCCACTCAGTGTGTGTGTGTGTGTGTGTGTGTGTTAGAGGCCCAGTGCATGGAATTTGTGCATGGGTGAGGTCCAGCCAGCCTGGCCAAGAGGAGGGGACATGGCAGTTGGCCAGCCTTCCTGTTGGTGGAACTTCTGGTCAAGGGGACAATTTGCATATTAGCCTTCACTGATTGGCCAGATTACTATGCATTCAGAGATCATAATAATCTGGCCACTCAGTGTATCTATGCATTTCTTATTTCAAAAGAGAAATTGAGAATTTATCTCTTTGTAATTTAAAACACACGCTCAATTTTTCTACATTGCCTATCTGAACTGACACACGTGGACTTTCACAGAGGAATTGAGAATACCTGCCATTTACTGATGTTAGGAATACAGAAAGGGAAAAGCTAGTCTGTGCTAAACTTCTTCATCCTAATCAACTTGCTGAATTTCTACTGCCCCTCTGTGATGTCATCACTTCCTCTACAGGACTGGCTTACTTTTCATCAGAATAGTGACCTCCCAAAGAGCTGCATGCCATCATAACATACCAGCAAAATCTGACATTGTAACAGTTTGGAATATGTATTACTTTTTAAAACTATGCTTATATTTCAAATTTGAAAAAGAAAAGGAAATCTTCTATGAAAAATTTTAAATCAAGTTCATTTAATCTTTATTTAAGCCTTTCTGCATTTAACTCATATTATTTTTAAAAGGAGAAGTACTGAATTGAGATTTTTAATAAATTTTTCCCTGATTATTTTATATCTTCTTTAATAACTGGAAATGAAACTTTTAGTACATTTTACTAGAAGTCATAATGAATCACCTTCTGAATCTTTTGCCTGCCCACTCCCAAATTCCTCAACCTCAATTTTACTTTGATAAAGTAAAACTATAATCAGAATAAATGAGGCAGATTCTTAAGTAGGAGCTATGTTATATCCATGATGTTTAATCAATTATATACTGAATTTAATTAATTATATACTGAAATATACCTATATGTGTAAATGTGTGTATATATGTTGATAATACCAAATGAAACACACATAGATATATGCATGTATTGACATATGCAAATATATATATTAATATGTGTGTTTATAATACAAAATACTCCCTAAAATTTCAGTTAAAAATATGTTAATTAATGCATACATAATTTTTTTGTTGAAATCTTTTCTAATTAGTTATAATTTTAGCCATGTGTCAATATATGCCGTTAGGAAAGGTTGTGTTTTTTTAATAAACATAGCAATCCAAATTTTATATATTTTTTTTCAATTTTCTATCTAGAAATTGACATTGAACGTTGTGTACGAGAATCAATCAACCTGTTTTGTTGGACTCCTAAAAGTGCTACTTACAGACAGCATGCTCAACTTCCAAAGCCAACTTCTGATAACAGTGGAGTCAGAAGTTCAACATCTTATTTCTCGGAGTGTCCAGATACTCCAAAAACAGATCTGGTATGTATTTGAAGATTTATGAATTCTAAAACATGTATGTTAAATTTAATAAACTGCAGTATTGTTATTGCTCCTAATAATATCACTTAGGTCCTTTTAACATAGCTATTTTCTAATATTTGATTTTATTCATGCAACTATTTCAGAAAATTTTTGTGTCTATTTGGTTATATGGGTAGAAAGATTGGTTTAACATATTTCTTCAAGTAACAAGTTTCATTTTTTTTCTATGCAATCATATCTGTTTATATATCAGTTTGTTTTATACTGAGAAAATTACAGAAAGCAAAGAAAGAATTATAAAAATAAAGACTTAAGAGTTGTTGATAAAATAAGAATATACACTTACTGATTGTTGAATGACAAAAGAAATAGCTACTTGATAAAAAAAATTACTTACTGTATTTATGAATTCTCACTTGAGGATAGTTTTCATTGATTTTTAGAGAGAGTGGAAGGGAGGGGGAGAAACAGAGAAAGAAACAACTGACTGTATTTGATTTGCTAGTATTTCTGGTATTGAATTTTTTCATCTATGTTGATAGATGAGATAAACCTATAATTTTCTTTTCATCTTTCCTTGTCAGTTTTTGATCTTAAAATTATATTTCTTCTTTTTTCTGCTGTGTAATCAATTTGTATAAAAATTGATTTTTATATTTTTCTTATAAAGTTTCTTATAGAGTAAAAAGCTTATCTTAAAACTATCTGACATCAATGTCTTTTAATCAGAGAGATATTTAATTATTCTTCTGAGTCAGTTTTTACATCTGAGAGGTTTTTTAATATCCATTTAACTACCATGCTTACTTTATCAAAATCCTATTTTAAAGTATTTATTTTTCTAATTCTTATATTCTTATAATTCTTTATACAAAATAGCTTTTTTATTTTTTTGCATTTTATCTGAAATTTTGTCCCCCTTTTCTCCTAATTTTGTTTATTTGAAGTTTTCTTGGTATGATAGAAAGTAGGTATAAGAAAATTAATTCTTGCATGCCCTGTAAAAGCATATTCATTAAATTTAGGTTCATCACAATGTAGATTTATATATTATATAGTCTATGTTAGGTTCTATACCAGCTAAAATAATAGCTTTTGTAAAGTGAAACATAAACTACATTCTGTACCTAGTATAATGGAAGTTTGAAAACTTCTATGAGAAGAAAACTTCAGTTAACTTTAATTTTTACATGCATTTATCCTATTTATTCCCTGAAGCAGACCATTGTAGTAGAAAAAGTATGAACTTTGAACTACATGGACTTGGTTTACAATTTCAACCCTATTCCATTTTGGTTTTATACTCTTGAATCATTTATATGACCTCTCTATTTCCCTATTTGTAAAAGTGAGCACAATTATTATAATTCCTACCTTGCAGGGTTGTTTTAAGAATGATATATGTAAAGCCCTGGTAATAATCATCATTCCTTTTTTAGTAACTGATGGTTAAATGTTTCAACTTTGAAAAATACCCAAGAATTTTATGACAGTCTTTTAAATCTAAAGAATTTGTACAAAAGAAGAGATTTTCTGGTATTCTTCTATTTCCTCTCAGCTATTACTATCACTGCACATTTAGAAGTAAGGGGAGCAAGGGAGAGAGGCTGGCTCTCCAATAAGGAATCTTTCAGGCAGTTTTACCTCAGTAATTTTAGTGTAAGATTTCACTTTGACCTTTGTATCTTAGTTTTAACTATTTTGATCTTGAAGCAACTACAGAATTGCCAAAAGAATTATTTTATCTAGTGCCAGTGTCTATCCAATCGACCTTTACGGAAGTAGCTAAAACTCTGCTTAACAATCCTACCACTGCTTATTAATTGAAATATATATATATATAAAACATATAATATAACTGACAAATAGAATGAAATAGATTTATTATAGTGACTATATTTTGGAAAAGGATGTGGTCAACACTGGAACTATTTCATGTTTCTTTGTTAAATTATGGTCACCCTATTAATTTATTCAGGACTGGTAATAAGTTATATGTACACTATGAATAAACAAGAATTATTTAGTTCTTGATTATGAACACTAGCCTGGAATGTTATTAAGTAAAGTAAATTTTATTTTATTTATATAATGTTAACTGCTTGCATGTACTGTCATAAAGTAAGCAAAATGGTCATTTAGTTATCCTCAGTTTACAGTTGTACTTTAAATGTGGATTAACTATAAATTTACTATTGATAAAAACTTTAAAGTACATTTGTATACTGTAGGTTGGAATGGCTTTTAGAAGTCTAATATAAATGCCAGTCTACAGTTTAATATATGTAGTAACACCACTGCCTTTTATAGTTTGAATATTTTAAAAATAATACCACACACAGTGCTTCATAATTTTCAGGTACAGTTACATTATTTTATTTTTGAAGAAAGTATTTTTGCCCCCATTTTAGAGTTGAGGAAATTCAGAAGACTACTTAATGCAAGTTAAATTTTAAGTTGCCATTTTAACAGTAGTGTACATGCTGTGTTACTCCCTGGTATTTATTGAAATGTAAACATTAATATACATCACTGCAGTCATAAAATTTCAAGCATTTTTTTGTTATTTTCTTCTATTTTCCTAATGCATATTATGCTTGCTATATTCATGCAATCACCAACATTCCTGCTGTTAAATAAGTTGAAATGTTTTTACAATATGGTATAAGGGGAAACAGTTATGTTTTACTTATAGATTATGTTGAGATTAGAATGCAAATATGAAGGAGAGCTAAACACCATCTCCCAAAGTTATTCAGAGCAATAGATGATTCAAGAACAAAAAGTTTAGCTTTGCATCTATTTCCTTTAATGTTTATATTGTAATATCAGTATCCAATGATCTATCCATAAGCAATCTGGAACTTTTAGCAATAGAGTTGATATAATTTTAGTAAAAGATGAAGACTGGAAATCCTTGTAGCTAAATATAGAATTGGTCAGACCTATAAAAGGTAAATATAATAAAATAAAGAAGTTTGATAGAAAGCAGTATCTTTTAAATTTTTTTTTATGCCATAATGTGTATAATGTATTTTAGTACCCACCCTCAGAGTAAAAGTAAGCCAAAAAAAAGCCAGCATGAGACAGTAAGGGGTAGTGGAATTCAGTGGTAAGATATATAAATAATTTCATTTACTTGGCTAAAATATGAATTTTTCTCTCATAGTCCAACTTTAGATAAGAAAGGCAAAAAAAATTTAGATTGTCATCTTAAGGAACTTATTAAGGATTCTAAGTACACTGTCAATAGTTATTTTTATAATTTAGACTCCTATAACAATCAGCTGAGTGGGCCACATGGCAACATACTATTACATAATTTTGTATTTAAAATATTTTTAAACTCTAAACTTGATACCAAATAACAAAGATTAATTTTTGCATAATATATTTTTCACATTTTAAATGACAACATAAACATACAAAGGATTATGTATATATAATACCAACATTGAATTATATGATTAATAATGGAAAAAAGGTATTAGGCAAATAAACAATCTGAAATATAATGTAAAAATAATTTCTATTTGACTTTAGAATATATTTCATATACTCTGTGTATAGATCTACTAATAAAATTTGGATAGTCTTTAGAGAATTTACTTTTTTAATAGTGGAAGGAAAGAAAGCATTGTTGAATACTGATTTAAGAAGAAACAAACAGCAGCTGATTCCATTTCTCAAGGGCATTTTTTATTTATTTTTACTACTAGAGGCTTGGTGCATGAAATCGTGCACCAGTGGGGTCCTTTAGCCTGGCCTGTGGGATCGGGCCCAAACTGGCTCTCTGACATCCCCCAAGAGGTCCCAGATTGAGAGAGGGGGCAGGCCAACCCGAGGGACCCCACTGGTGCACGATTGGGGCTAGGAGGGACCCAGGAGGTTGGCCAGTTGGGGAGGGACTAAGGGAGGGCTCGAGAGCATGTTCAGCAAATCTCGTTCAGTCCTGATCAACCAGACCCCAGCAGCAAGCTAACCTCTGGTGGTCAGAGAACATCATAGCAAACCATTGAGCAGTATTAGTATATCATTAGCATATTAGGCTTTGATTGCTTGAACAGCTGACTAGTCGACAGGACACTTAGCATATTAAGCTTTTATTATATAGGATATATTCAAAGTACTGCTGAATTTATAACATATGAAAAGAATTCAGTAAATAATTTGAAAATTTATAATTTTGAACATCTTTGGCATAGAAGATTTGCTTCCTCTCAAATCTTCAATAAAAGTAGAGGATTTTCTTTATGGACAGCAGTAGAAAGGCAGTTGCTTTTTTGATCACAAAAAAAAATCAAATTTTAATGGGTAAAGGTTAAAGTTGGTGGTGTATGGGCAGGCTAAATAGATATCTTAGATGGTAATTAAAGAAAATTAAATTTATTAAAAAAAAAGAGTATGGGAGATGAGGATATCCAAAAGGAAGGACTACACAGAAAAAAGGGGCCATGGAGACAGGTTCAGGATTTAGCCAAGGATGAGCTGCTGCTGCCCATTGCTCCCTTGGTAGCAAATCATGTGGGGTCTCTTGAGGTTAGGGAATATATGGTTGTGGAGGAATGACACAGCATGCTCCTTGGAGGGAGAGCAAACACTGGGACCTTTGTCCTGGAAATCTTAGGGGAAGTGTCAGGGGAGTGTCTTAGTAGAATATTCATCAGCTTTCCAGATGTGCTCTATCAGGGTCCTGTTTGCACTGATTGGTTGGTGCCAGGGCAGGAGGTCATTAATCAATGTAGCTGGTCCAGAGGCAGCCATGGCGCCACATGTCTGGTTTTGCTGCTTTTCTGGCCATGGAGATGAAATATAACTGAGGCTTAAATGTTATCATTAGGGAGGAAAAGGTCAGGCGTCTAAACCACCTGACCAGCTATATGAAAGATCTGGGGTCCAAACTGTATGACCAGCGATATGCTTGGGAGGATAGGTTAGTCTGCAGGTGCTGTTCTTGTTTTCCCACTTTCGCCCCTTGCTAGACATCCAGAGCTTTC